GACAATACGGCCGCACTACCATTTTGTGCAGTCCGTAGAGCCAAGGTTCAGAAAGGGTGAAGTTGGAGCTTTCTAGCTTGTACAGTCCGCGGTCCAGTTTGTGTGGACCATACTAGAAGCCTCAGCGGCCGCGGTCCATTCTGTGCGGTCCGCGGAGCCTGAGTTTAGAGAGCTAAGTTTTCAAGTTCAAGAGCCTAGTTCGGCCGCACACCATTTTGTGCGGTCCGCACTGACCCCGCAAGGGCATTTTTGTCTAGTTTTTCTAGCTTAGTTATAAATAGAATCTTTTTCCATTTTTAGGGCATCAGACATTTTAGAATAGCTGCTGCACTTGTGGGAACGTATCTTGTAGCCATTTTGGGCATTTTTACTTAACTTTTAACATTAAATCTTTGTATTTAGCTTAGCAATTAATTAATATGTATTCATCTTCGTCTATTTCTCTATTTTTCTCTTCAAGCATGAGTAGCTACACACATTAGCTAGGGTTGTGGCTCAACCCTAATGTGGGTAATTGATGGGTGTTGCAATTTAGGGCTAGATTGACTATGGGTGTTTGCTATTTGGGTCAATTTCATGTTTTAATTACTGAATTAGTGGTTGCAAACACTAGTTGGTGCTAAGTTAACTTGGGCTCTTCTTAAGAAAGAGAGCCTAAGTCTCCGAAATTGATCCAACAAGGAATTGGGATGGACTCAAGAGAATTGATAGTCCCAATTGAAGGGTTAAACCTCGAGAGAGTAATACCCGACTTGAACCCTAGTTGCTTGAGCAAATATTCATACCCAATTGGTCTTGAGAAAGTCAATTGGGCAAAATCATTCTTTCTGCCGAGAGGTGTTAGAGTGGGTAAGATCGAGCAATGGTTATAACATATTCCCCAATTATTTCAATCGTGTCTTAGACGCAATTACCCGTCAATTGGCCACCTAGGTGAAAGTTACTCCCCTACTGCCTTTTAGAATATTTGAACAGCTTGTAGCATTTTACTCTTAGCTTAATCTAGTTACAATTATAATTTGTAGTTTGATAATAGTAGAATTATAAAAGAAAACCCAAAAATGAATAGAAGTGCAATTTGGAACCAATACGCAATCCCAACCTAAATAGATACTCAACTCCCTTTCTAGCTCTCAGTGGAAATCGATCCCGAACCAAAATTGGGTAAAAGCTATTGCGACCCTCTCTCGCTACTTTTTAGTGGTGCAGAGTAGGCAGCGATCACTCTCAAACGGACCTATGAAATCAATATCCCACACATCAAAAATGTCAATCTCCAAGATGGTGGTGGGGGGCATCTCATTCTTCTTAGAAATCCCACCAGCCCTTTGACATTCATCACAGTGATTGACTAGATCACTAGCGTCCTTATTGAGAGTAGGCCAATAGAATCCATAACTCAACACTTTTGTTTCTATTCTAGCTCCACCATGGTGACCACCATACGGTGAAGAGTGGCAAGCCTCAAGAATTTCCACTTGTTCTTCCTCCGGCACACATCGTCGAACCACATCATTGGTAAAAATCCTGAAAAGATATGGTTCATCCCAATAATAGTCAAGGTAATCCTTTTTGAGCTTCTTTCTTTGGTTTAAAGAGAACTCATTTTGTACAATGCCACTCATAAGATAATTTGCTAAGTCGGCGAACCATGGCATCCCGGTCATTGAAATAGCTAGAAGTTGCTCGCCAAGGAAGGAATCATTGATCTCTAGGCCATCATGTTGCCTTCCCTCCTCCTCCAATCAAGACAAGTGGTTCGCCACTTGATTTTCACTACTTTTGCGGTCTTGTATCTCTAGATCAAACTCTTGCAATAGAAGCACCAACCATATTAACCTTGCCTATGAATCTTTCTCGCTCATTAAGTACTGAAGCATCGCATGATCGGTGTGGACAATCACCTTTGTACCCATCAAGTACGGGCGGAACTTCTCCATAGAAAATACAATAGCAAGTTGATATTTTTCGGTCATTGTGTAATTGACTTGGGCATCAGATGGAAGATTTTGTTGATTCATTTCCCCAAAACTGCTCCAACCATTACATCACTTGTGTCACACATGATCTCAAAAGTCAAGCTCCAATCTGGTGCGGTGATAATATAAGTAGTTGTCAGTTTGAACTTGAGCAATTCAAATGCCTTCATACAATCCTTATTTAAATGGAATGGCGATAGAACCCCGCATGACCAAAGAAACGCCTTACCCTTTTCATGGATGCAGGGGAGGAAGTTTAGAAATCACCTCAATTTTGGCCTTGTCGACCTCAATACCATGCTTTGAAATTTTATGGCCAAGGACAATGCCTTCCTCGACCATGAAGTGACATTTATCCCAATTCAAAACCAAGTTCGTCTTTTTACATATTTTCAAGACCTTATCCAAATTGTTCAAGCAATCATCAAAAGAATTCACAACAATGAAAAATTCATCTATGAATACCTCAAGAATATCCTCCACCATGTCGGTGAAAATAGCCATCATACACCGTTGAAAAGTTGTCGGTACATTGCATAACCCAAATGGCATCCGCGAGAATGAAAAAGTACCATATGGACATGTGAAAGTGGTCTTTTCTTGATCCTCCGGGGCAATAAGAATTTGATTGTAGCCGTAATACCCATCGAGGAAACAATAGAATGTATTGCCAGCCAACCTATCAAGCATTTGATCAAGGAAGGGGGTGGGAAATGATCTTTCCATGTGACTTTGTTGATCTTGCGATAGTACATATACACTCTCCATCCGGTCATTGTTATTATAGTAATCAACTCGTTCTTGTCATTGGTAACCACAATCATGCCCCATTTCTTTGGGACACATTGCACCGGAGAAGTCCATGAACTATCAGAAATGGGGTAAACAACCTCGGCATCCAACCACTTTATGATATCCTTTTTTACCACCTCTTGTATTACTTCATTTATCCTCATTTGATGTTCAATGGAAGGCCTGTCACCCTCTTATCCATATCTGTAAAAAGATATTATGTTCCAACAACAACAACAACATTGAACCCAGCGTATTCCCATAAATGGGGTTTGGGGAGGGTAGTGTGTATGCAGACCTTACCCCTACCTTATAAAACTAGGGAGGCTATTTCCGATAAAAAAAATTCTGTTCCATATGATAGAATTTCACTATCTAAGAACACCCCTGCCTTACCTTATATATCGACTGCTCGGTATATTAAATGACACCCTCCCACGCCATATTTACTTAAATTAAACATTGATGGTGCCTTTAACTCCAGCACCAAAACTGCAGGTGTTGCGGGAGTGTTTCGAGACTATCAATGTCAATGGATCCGTGGTTTTACTACTCACCTCATTTGCTCATCCCCACTTGAAGAAGAACTCCGTGCTTTGTTGATAGGACAAATTGCTTTTCACTTCTATCCACTATAGATAGAAACAGATTCTCAGGTACAACAAACGATGTTTGATACAAGTTCTGATCTCTACTTACCTCTTATTTTGGATTGCAGGTTTTTGATGACACAACTGCGACAACCGGAACTTAAGCATATATATCGCAAAGCAAACAATGTAGCAGATCTCCTAGCAAAACATGGCATGACCTTAGCTCCTTGTACTGTCCAACACCGTTGTCATCCACTACACTACGAAGAACCATCGCCTTATGCTTTATTTGCTTTCAATAAAGATTGTTGAAACACTTGTCTAAGAAGAACAGTCCCCTTATGTACAAACTCTATTACCTATCTTTTTTAGCTTTTAATAATATTTCCGATTTAGCAAAAAAAAAGTGATATTTTTTCTTAAATAATTAGTTGAGTAAAAATCTCTTTAATTTTTTTTGTAATATTTGGTATCATAGAAAATTGATCAGCATTATTAGTATCACATTTAGCCCATAAAAATATAACTCTTCAAACTTGAGCAAATTGCGATATATTTAAAGACGGGTCGTTTTTTATAATATCGTAATTAGTCCAATAAAAATTGGGCTAATATATAAATGAACCCTCAAAATATTATAAGATATAGAATGATAAGTTTCTTTATTTTCTTATTTGATATTATCATAATACATAATAAAAATATTAGTTTAATTTGATAACTAAACAAATATTTTTTATAAGAATAAACAAGCAAATAGAAAAGGAAAATTTTCAAGAAGCACTATCTTTTAGTGGTAATTAGATATTTATAGATACCATTTGCTATATTACATCCTATATATACGTTTTTATATGTATTTAATGTATTTAGATTACTGTATTTTTGAATACATTAGAAAAAAAAAGGCGTCAATCGTGGAAATCAAGTTAATAAGATTATGTATTCAACTGTATTCAAGATCTTTATCATTGAATACAATAACATATTTTCCTTAAAAAAGGACCTTTCAACTGATTTAAAATGGAAACAAAATCAATCTCGTAAATAGTCTCCTAATATAACTCATCTAACACAATTATATCACCCATAATCTGTATTTCTCCCTCCATTGAAGATTTTCCATCCGAAAGTACTCAAAAACAGAAACAATCTGTGGATTTTCAATTCTCCCTTCTTTCTTTTCTTGTTCTTCTGTTACAGTTCGTAGAAATAAATTTTCAACCAAGAAAATTTGAGATTGATACAATTGTATACAGAAATATGTTCAAATTCGATTTTGCATATGACAACTTTTACAATTTTATTGCGACATTCTGGAAAGTGGAATAGTGAGAGTAACTACGTCGATTATTCGATTGAGGGAATACTGATAAAGGAGTATGCATTGTATAATGGTGTGGTCGCGTCAATTTCAAAGCAACTGGACATAGATTTGAGCTCAAAGTCCATTAAAATTCAATACAGAGTAGAAGGAAATTGCACGCCAATGGAAATACACAATGATATGGGTTTTAGGGTGTATGTAGAGTTGAAAAAATAGAACAAAGAATTCGGGATATATCATTTGTGCATAACAACAATTAACAAAGAAGTTGTATCCGGAGGTAGTTTAATTCAAGGCGACATTGTACAAATGGAAGAAGCTATTCAAAGGTATAATTTCGATATAGATGATACTCTTGCCCTTGATGTATTCAATTCAGGCAAACCAATTGGGGTGTTCGAACTGGACGATTTGATAATTTCAAAAACAAATCAAAGGGAGATTATGATTGGACAAGTATATAAGGATAAAGCTACATTGAAAGAGGTGATGTAGCATAAAGCTATATCAGAAAGGTTTCAATTCCGGGTTGATAGGTCTAATTCAATAAGGTTTGAGTGTTCTTAAGTATTCATTATTTTTTTGTTTATTGTATTTCTGGTTGGATTTGTAAAGTGTATGTAGGTGTATTTAGTTGTATTTGTGAATTTTTACTTGACCTATATTGGTGTGTGTTTTTAGTTATTATGTATTAATAATACATGTATTGGTGTGGAGCATTGCGCTAGTGCAGAAGAATTGAATGTAAAATCAAACTGTTTGTAGATGTATTTAGCTGTATGCAGATGTATTTAGCTGCAATCACGTATGTAGATGTATTTAGCTGTATGTAGTGGCTCTAACTATTTTTTATTAAGTGTATTAGTTGCATTTAAATGTATGCTTATAAGTATAGTTGTATTCAACCTTAAACATTGTATATATTTGTGTTGTATAATACTCTATATGTATATATATAGATGCAATAATATATTCAAATTTATATGAGTGTATTTTTTGTAAGTATTTATACTGATCATATGTGTAATAATAACTTCTTTGCAGCTATGCATTATTATGTATGTCTGATGATTGTTAATGGAGGTTTAAGGCTTCTAGCATTAACAAATCACAATTGTTCAAAGTGAGAGAGTTCAATGATAAACATACATGTCCGTTGAAGGATAAGGTGTATGAGCAACATCAGGCAAGTAACAGCCTTATAGGTGGTATGATTAGGCCCAAGCTTACAAATCATAAGAGGAAATATACCCCAAAGGATATAATTGATGATGTGAAAATAAATTTAGGTGTCGATGTTAGTTACATGTTGGCATAGCGGGCTAAAGAAAAGGCAATAAATTTTTTGAGGGGTGAACCGGCTGATTCATACAATAAATTACCAGGATACTTGTATACAATGGATATGACATATCCTGGTTCGCACATTAGAATGGTAAAATCCCTACAAAATGAGTTCAAGTATGTGTATATATCCTTGTATGCCTTTATAAAGGGGTTCAATCAATATAGACCCATTGTGGTTGTGGATGGAAGCCACTTAAAATTGTATTACACTGGGACTTTCGTCTCGGCCAGCACTTTGGATGGTGCAGGTGAGTATGATAGTTATAATAAGGTATTATAATAGTACTGCATATAAAATATTGAAATACATATTTAAAATATGTATGCAATTTTATTTACAGGTCATATACTTTCACTAGCATATGGTGTTATTGATTCAGAGAACGATGCTGCTTGGACGTGGTTCTTTGAGCAATTCAAGGAAGCATATGGTGAGAGGGAAAGCATGTGCATCGTTTCAGATAGGAACGAAAGTATCATCAAGTCTGTATCAAGAGTGTATTCAACTGTACCACATTTTGCTTGTATATGGCATCTTTGGAACAACGTATATAAGAAATTCAAAAGGAGTCATTCAAAGTTGAGCGAGATATACTTCTCAATGGCAAAAGCTTACACACAGGCTGAGTTTGACAGTCTAATGGAAAAGGTGGAGAAAGTAGATATTAGGGTGAAAGAAGACTTGGAGTTAGATGGATACGAAAAGTGGGCTAGCTTGTATGCACCTGTCAACAGGGGATGGACAATGACGTCAAATATTGCTGAGTCAATCAATGCCGCACTTATGTCAGCAAGGGAATTGCCAATATACGACCTCCTCGAAGAAGTTAGGAAAATGTTTGGACGTTTGAATTGCAACAATCGTAAAGAGGATCTACAGACCTACACAACGCTTGGTAAAAAATATTAGGAGATGCTTACCTTGAACGAGGCAATGTCTATCCGAATGACTGTAAGTTGTCTTTTATTTATGTATTTGTTTCCTATATGTATCCATGGTACAAGGTATTTAACTGTATATATTTCAAGGTAGCAATGGAAGTTGTATCCTATATTCAGTCAAGACTACTCTTTAATATTCTGCCAGCATTCCTTTAGTATGTATTCATCTATACAATGCATTTATATGTATATACATGTATATCTTTGAATTCTGTATGTATAAATATAGTTGTATCTAATATAGTTGTATTTTAATACAATATATATTGTGATTCTTAAAACTAAATAAAATTCTAATACTATATATTAAAATCATATTCTTTTATATTCTTTGATATATATATATGATTTGTTTTTTAAAATGTAGGTTGTGCCATCGACTGAATATTTGCATACGGTGAATGATGAAGGAAGGCATTACACAATATGCCTTTTAGAGAAAAAATGCAGTTGTGGGCGGTTCCAAGTCGACGAATTACCGTGCCCACACGCTTGGGCTGTACTGAAAAGCAAGTTTCTAATGCTAGAAGAATATTGCTCTGATTATTACAAACCAAAGTCTGTTATAATGACATATGAGGTGCCCGTGTATCCTTTGCCTGACCGGAAAGATAGAATATACCAGCCCATGTAGCAGATGAAGTTGTATTACCACCCAAATGTAAAAGACCTCCTGGAAGACCAAAGAAGAAGCGTGATAAGCCGTTGATTGGATTGTTGTAGAAGAAAAATTAACATTCGTGTAGCATATGTGGGCAGGAAGTACATAATAAGCGTACTTGTAGAAATGCTCCACATATAAATTAGTTCACAATCTGACTTGTATTAATGAAAAATGATTTGTCATGTATTACGGTGTCATTTCAAATATATTTTGGATATATTTAGTCGGTGTATTAAATCTGAATACGTAATTAATGTACGACCATCATATCTTAATTATATATGAATATAGATGAATACAATCATTGAATACATATGATTACAATAAGTTGTATACACAGGGTATGATTGTATCATAAACAGAACTGATGATTTTTTTCGAATACATATCGTATATCAGAGATTGAATATGATTTATGAAAGTTAAATACATGTATTCGAATACACTTGAATATATATATTAATACAATCAGTTATACACGTATAAATGTCTAAATATGTATTGTACAAGGGTCTAAATAGACTTGAATATATTTGCATATAAATGAATACAGATGAATAAAAGTAGTTATATATAAAAAGATGTATTCAAAATACAACTGAATCCATATCAATGCAATATATTATATAAATATGAAGGTCTAAATACACCTGTTGAAAATATGTAAACATAACCTGGTGAATACATATAAATACAACTTAATAACTGACTATTACAATAGGTTAAATACATATAAATAGAAAATGTTGCATACATACTAATAAAAACTGATATAAACATACAAAAACCCAACAAGTTGAAGGACAGATTAATTCAGAAGCAAAAAAAAAGTCAATACATCGATTGGATGCTTGAAATGATAATGTATAAAAACTGTTGATACGGTCACTACATTACCAACACCCTGTCCAACACACTATCTTTACCAACACTGTGTCCAAGAAAAAGAGTATTCACAAAAACTCCCATCGAAAACTACATTCACCTACGACTACTCTAACATTATTTTCACCGAAGTATCAGAATCGATGATGTGCCTAAGAATCTTTGAGGGTGCTTCGCTCTCGCTTACGGCATCAGCGTCTATATTCCGCATAGCATAGTCCCAAAGGAGAGCACCATATCTTTGACGGAGCAAATTGACATCAAATTTTATTTGTGGAACCATCCCAAAGGTACTAAGAAACTCTGCGTATGCCGCGACATGCATCCCACAATCCCTGAAAGAATACACCAAAACAGTTACAAACAATTCATATTATTAGAAAAATGATACAAGGAAAAGGATTAAACACATACATGCTACCGGGATTTTGTTGAGATAGATCTGAAATGAAAACAACTTCAAAGGGATCAGTTGGTGCCTTGTCAGAGTATGCTGAGTCATGAGTCCAATCTATGCCTTGCTTATCTCTGTAAAAACCACTGCTCGATAGATACAGAGGTACAAGCTTAGCTAGCTTATCTATCTCTGAAGCCACATAAGAATCATGCAATGCTGATCTAATGGAGTCATACACTTTGATAGATCTATCCTTGAATGAGACAACTGCCAATACCCAATGCATTTTTTCTTCCAAGTTGACTGGTATCAAGACGTTGTCAACAGTGTCACGGTACATTAGCCATCAATCTGTAGCCCCTTATGTACTCACATACCATATTCTCTTCTTTGGCTACATTTGCATTACTATCTGTATCAGCATACCTGTTGGATATTTCAGTTATTCTTGTCTTGAATATACAATCAACAGTTGTATACGTGAAGTTGGGTATTGGGTTGTACTTTCCCTTCTTTCGTAAGTAGTAAAAGATGACATCAATATGCTACATTTAAAATGGAATACACCACGTTAGTACATTGAATGAAATTCAGAAAATATCAAATGCTGAAAACATAATTGAACACATGCAGTTGTATGTAATCTATCAACTGCTGAAAACAGATTAGTAAAATTGTATGTTACATACATGATGCAGAATACATGTATGTATCTGATAGAAGTGTAGAGTTAACATACTGAATGTGGAAGGAGTCTTACATTGTCATTCCATACTTTGCCGTCAGATGAGAGGAGGTAAAACTAATTTTTTGAAGTGACTTGATCAACACCAAAATCCAACGGTATATGTAGTGTTGACTTGCTCCTTTTGTAATGGTCTTCCAAATCACTTCTACAATGAATTTCAAAATACAATATGTTTATTATTTAAATTATAAATATATTGAATAGACATACAAACTAAAAAACTTACTTTTGGTAATGTTTAGCGAGAAGACCTTTACGAACCCATTTCTCATACTCCTGAATGACTAATGTAGGATGTGGTCCCGAAATCAAATCATCTTCAAATGGGTGTTTCTTGTCGAATATGGGAGTCAACTTAACTGAGGTGCCTATTGTTCAGGAAAGTAATGAATACAAACATTTAATTTTGTATACAAGGGGAAAAAAGATCATATCTTTGTAATTCATTGTTTTTTTTAAATAATTTACTAACCTGCAGAGTCGAAGTTTGACTCATAAGGCAAAGAATACGATCTACTAGGACGCCGATTCCTATGTGAGGCTAATGGGGTTGCATCTGTTGGATTTTTTACTACATGATGTATCACAATTCTAGCTTCTGGAATTTGACTTGGAAGAAAATGGTCCGATAACTCAAACTGTGATACATGTACTTCTTTGGATACACATATAGGTGGTATGATACACAGCATCTCAAATGTATTATTCCCATCAACCATTGCTTCATCACAAACAGGATTAACATCTATATTCTGTTAATGTATACATATGTATATGAGTGTATTATGAAGGGTAAAATTAACATACTGTATTCTACTATTCTGGTAATGTATACAGATGTATGTGAGGATTAACATCTGTATCATATTAATGTATAAATATATATGTGTTTCACTTACTGTATTCTGCTATTGTGAACTGCAGTTTCAAATATAGTAAATACTATAATCTTTTAATAAATATTGTATTGTGTAAAACTTAAATACAACTACACTTAGCTTATGTTATATATAGCTGTATGGAACTTTAGGTTGTATGCATCTTGAAATTATAGTATACATTAACAGAATACAGCTTGAAATTAAGTATATATACAACTACATACATGTCTCAGTTTATATATATATATTTATATAAAATTAAATAGTTATGTATAACTTAATTAACATGTATTTTAAAATATGTATGGTGTCTTATAGATGATTAATGTGAATAAATAAGAATCATATAGTCTTATTATGTTCATATAAACATAAACTAACAGAGGTTTAAAAAATGTTAACCTCCAAATTCTCTCCTACAGTTACATCACTCTTTGGATGGCCTTTGGGATTATCTTGCACATCAACATCATGCGACTTTTGAATACCATCATCACGTGTCACTGTGGGTTGATTTGCTTTAATCTGGCCAGAAATGTTCTTGAAGTTTTCATTGATCAATGTTCTTAAAGACGTGAACTCGCCCGTCACCTAATCAAAATATAAAAAATTAGATAGGTGTTGGAAAAATATATAAATGTTAAATAACAAAACTGTATTATTTACTAATGGAATACAAAACTCACGTAGTCTTTAAATGAATTTAGATCATTCCTCAACGAAGATACTTCATCCGCTTTAGAATCTGCCGACTTCTTATCATGAAACACATTTTGATTGACTTCAGATATACCAGCATAAGGAGTCTTATGTTTAGTCCCTGCCTCTGAGCGATCTATAATCTGCTCTTTGCGCTTCTTGTGGGGCGGAGATGAAGAAGGTCCAACACTTGCATTATATTTCTTCTCAAGCTGAAGATGCGGTGTAGGACTAAAGTCATCCGAATCATCCTGATCATCTGCATGCTTGTCTGAATGAGTATTGGTAGGGCTGGTATGTACCTCAACGCCTTCTAGAGGAATTTGAATAACAGCAAGCTCTACATCGCTTGGTTGGATGTCTTTGTAAACAATCTGGAAATTGAAAATTGTATGTTATATCCAGCCTATATTTAAAGTTGATCACTGTATCAAAATGTATATTGTGTGCAACTGTAGGCTATAGCAAAAGGAAAGTATAATTTGTATGCAGATGAATGGTGTATTGCATATGGAAAATCTAGGTTGTATTTAGATGTATATTGTATGCATATATATGTTGTATGTATATAATAATGTATGTATCTGTATGGAACTGTTGGGTGTATGGAACTTGAAAATATAGTACATATTCATATGTATGTTATATGCAGAATAGACTATACTTAGCAAGTATTGTATGCAAAATTGAATTTCAGAAACTTATGAAATATTAATTTACCATGTTTCCCTGGTCTTTGAACATGCCATCCATCAGATAAGCATAAGTCGGTTGATTTACAGTGGTTCTCCAGTTGAGCAATCTGGGTACCCAATAACCAAGGCGCTTTGCAATTTTAGGGTCAACCTTTGAGCAGCACTCATAAAACCAAACTTGCATTGCGAGTGGCATACCAACAATCCTATAGTACTTCTTGTGATAATCCATTTTCTTACTAATAGATATAATAAGGCTGCTGAATGCAAGAGTACCCCATGGATAATCAGAGTATCGCCCACTCTCGACTAAGTCAAAATGTAGTCGTGGGATGGTTGTGGTTTTCTTCTCTGATGAGAATATCCATGTGTGTATGAGATACAACAATGATATCTTGATGGTATCCCCATCGTTGCCATCACCCCATTTCTTTTCATCAAAGCATGACAATAAAACTTCCTTTTTAACCAGCTTTGAACCACCAAAGTATGTCTGAACAATACGGTTGGGCACCTCTGTGTTGAACTTAAATTCACGTGGATCACCAACACATTTGAGACCAGTGACGAGGGCAAACTACCTGATTGAGAAGGAAATTGTTGTACCATTTAGGTGTATTGAAAATACGTCATCAGTACTTCCTTCTAACTGCTTAACCATGAAG